GGCTGGGGATTCGAACCCGCCACCTTAGGTGTATGTGGCTGGCGCCTTAGCCGATTGAGCCACAGGCGCTGAGCCGAGTTTATCAATTCCATTTGTCTCTTCAAAGAACCAACTTTTGGCTTTGCTGATATTCTTTATTTTTGGCCCTGCTTCATTAATTTCTGCTCTTATTTTTATTATACCCTTTCATCTTTGGTTTTAATTTATTGAAGTTTTTTTAGATTCTTGAGTTGAACCTCAGAGTATCAATTTTCAACCGTTCTTTTAAAGCTATAAACTTTCCTCTGAGCACTGTATTTTAGCAGCATTGCTCAGCATTTGTTAGTCCATATTTTCACTACTGTTCACTTCAAAATATTTTGGAATTTCAACTGTGATTTATTATCGACCAACTGATTATTTAGAAGCATGACATTTAATTTCTAAGCTTTTGGAGACTTTTTAGTAGTCTTCCTGTCATTGACTTAGGTTTTATTGTTTTGTCATGTTTTGAGACAGAATCTTGCTTTGTCACCCCAGCTAGAATGCAGTACTGTCATCATAGCTAACACCAACCTGAAACTCCTGGACTCAAGTGATCCTCCTGCCTCAGCCTCTGGTGTAGCTGGGACTACAGGTGAGTGTCACCACACCTAGACGATGTTATTGAGTTTTAATTTAATTCAGAGAGCACATTGTATGATTTCAACTTTTTCAAATTTGCCGAGACTTGTTTATGGCCCAGAATAAGGTTTATTTAGATAAATATCACATGTTGATGTGGAAAAAATATGTATTCTACAGCTATTGGGTAAAATGTTATATGTATGTGAATTAGGTCAAGTTGGTTAATGCTGTTGTTCAAATTGTGTGAGGTTGGCTCCAGAACAAAGAAATAGACCAGTGGGATAGAATAGCATTCATAGTCTCGGTGCCTGTGGCTCAGGTGGCTAAGGCGCCAGCCACATACACCTAAGGTGGTGGGTTCAAATCCAGCCCAGGCCTGCCAAACAACAATGATGGCTGCAACCAAAAAATGGCCA